GAAAGGAGGATTAGGGTTTTTTTTTGTTGTTGGATGAGTGAACTGGGTTGCTGGTTGGGGTTTGGGTTGGGAGGATGCAGCCAGGGATGGGGTGGGAAGCAGCAGCCCTAGGAGAGCAGGCATCCCGCTCCACCATGGTCAAGGGGGAGATGGGGCATCTCCAAGAATGGGTCTGGGCTTAGGTGCGTTTCATCTCCTTCTGGAGTAATTTCTTTCTCTTCACACCACTGTAGAGAAAACCTGGGGTTTCTGCGCTTCTTTCTTATCTACTTTAAGCTTCACTGGGTGACTTTGGGTCTTCAGCTCCAATCCCAGCTTCATTTCAGCTGGTGCTTTTCTAAATTACACATTCGGGTAAGCTGAGGGGTGCAGCATGAACGGGGCAAGGGGGCATTTCCTGACCATCAAACAATTAACTTTCAAATATTTGTATTGTTTTTTTAATTAGTCCTTGATTTTTGGCTATAGGGATTTCTGGCTTGGTGGTTGCCAGGGCAACTGGAGGTAGTCTAAGTAGCATCCTCTTCATCTCCACATTCTCACAAGGTGGGGACCAGTCCCTGAGCAATGGGCTACCATCCAGGGTGGGATGTGTTAGCATATCTCCCTTGAGTAGGAATGAGGTGGCAAAGTCTCAGCCGTGGATTGAAGAACACTAGTGAGAAAAGTCTTTAAGGAAGTGGAGATGGAGGAAATCAAATGCAATGAGAAGAGTGAATTTGCAGCCACACTGTAGCAGGTCTTTCCTCTCTCCCACCTCCCCAACCATCAGCTGACACCTAGGTTTCCTCTGCAGTCTGCTTTTTAAATCAGATTTTTTAACAGGTTCTTTGGCAGGAAAATCTCAGTGTGAGGTTTCCGCCCGGGCCCTGCCACGTGACGGTCCCAGAGATGAGCAGAGCAGGGTGGAGGGTTCTGGACATCTGTGGGTTTGGGGAGAGATGTGGGATTTGGGAAGGAAGGCTGGCACCCTGATGGGAGCTTGGTCCAACCCTGGCTCCATTACCCACCACTGGATCTCCCTGGGGTTGTCTCAGGATATTTTCTGTGCAGAAAGAATGAGCAAGATGCAAAGACCAGAGCTCTGAAGCCACTCCAGGCACCTGAAACACGGGGGATGCTGCTGCACCCCCAGCAGCTCCAGCTGAAATCAGTGGGTATAACAAACCCCCCATTCAAGAGCTGTCGGTTGGCCAAAAATTTATCCCTGGGGTCTCTCCACACCACGACAGCCATAGAAAAGAAGAGGTCATGGCTGAACCAGCCTGAGAGCAGACTGTTTTCTCCTGGGTGACTTTTTCCCCCACCATCCCAGGTGATGGGGCTGGTGGTTTCTGGCCCATGGTGTTTCCTCCCGGTGAATCTCCCCAGTGAAGCAGGAGGAAAACTCATCTTCCTTTTACGAGGGGATACCTTGGCTTCCTGCCTTTATCAACAGAGCAGCTCGTAGGCAGCAATCCAAAGGCAATTTGATGCGGTTTCAAATGCACGCTGTATACAGATGAACTGTAAATGCCTGTGGCATGTTTCTTTCCCCATTTCAAAGAGCGCTATCGATTGCTCCATGCGATGATGAAGCATGCCTGTACCCGACTAAGCTCTTTGCTGATTATCTGGCGATGCAGGAGTCTCTTTCTTGGACTGGAAGATGACCAGTACCTTTATTCCTCCTATCCTTTGTCAGAGCTATTGTCCAAGTGGCTTGTTAGCCTATGAACGCTTCGTGCTGCTCCATAAGGGAGTTTTTAACCGGTGGTAATGGATTGCATCTCATCTGCAAAGCAATTGCAGAGCCAGGAAGGGAGAATCTGGGGCAGTGCTGCGAGGAGGGAAGAGGCAATAGATGCTGTGCAAATCCCCAATCTGAACTTTGCATACTGCATTTCAGCTGTGTGATGTTTTCTTGTTGCTGCTCTCTGGAGCCATGGAGGTTGCAGTGGGAGCCATTGTACCCACCCACTTCTGGTGATAATTTTTGGGGCTGATTGGGAAGGGAATTCCCATGTCAAAAGGAGTTTGGGCAGTCGCATATCAAAGCCCAGCACTGGCTTTGATTCTCCTCTCAGTTCATAGAACCGTAGAATCACAGAACAGTTTGGGTTGGAAGGGACATTTAAAGGTCATCTAGTCCAACCCCCCTGCAATGAGCAGGGACAGCTTCAACCAGACCAGGTTGCTCAGAGCCCCGTCCAGCCTGACCTCGAATGTTTCCATGGATGGAGCATCTACCACTTCTCTGAGCAACCTGTGCCAGTGGTTCACCACCTCATTGTAAAAAATGTCTTCCTTAGCTAGTCCAAGTCTACCCTCTTTTAGTTTAAAACCATCGCTCCTTGTCCTATTGCTGCAGTCCCTATTAAAAAGTCCATTCCCACTTCAGCTAGGACTTTGGAGATTGCCCTCTTGCTGTTCTTCAGGTGGCCCAGCAGGAGCCCATGAAGGTCTTGGCAGTGCTCAGAAAGCCAAGTCTCACACTGATGTGTCTTTCGACCTGCTGGGTTCTGATCCATCTCCCACCGGAGCCAAGAGAATTGCATGAGGAACTGATCTTGGCTTTTGAAGGAGAAGTTAGGAGGTGCTCTCCCTGTTGAGACATCAAGAGGAAATAGCCACTGTGTGGGATTTGGGAGAATAAACACCAGTAGACTGAGCTGACATGAATGCAGATACTTTCCTGTATGTGAGACATCTAACATTTGAGTTTTTGCTTTTTTAGTTTCCAAAGAGATCCCCACTGCTGTCATTTCCCCTGGTAATAAAACATTTCAGTGCGTTCCAAATGCAGCTTCGTGAAGAAAAAAAAAAAAAAAAAAAAAAAAAAAAAAAAAGTAGTATTTAGTTTAGGAGGGACTGCAGAAGTGAGCAAGCTATGGTCTGTCTGCACAAACCCAGAGGGGATCAGCCTTATGTCATTAAGAAAGGGAGATCTGGAAATGTATCTGCAGAAAGGAGTCCTACCCCCTGCATCCCTTCTGCACACATGTGTTTCCTCAAGCAACAGTTGAGATGGGCTGGGACTAGGGCTCATCTTACTGATTTTCTGTTGTTTCTATAGAATAATGGACCCCAGAGGATTGCGTGTTGGCCTTTAGCAATGCTTTGGTTGCAGGCACTTTGGCCAGAGTCCCAATCTCTGCTCTTTATTTGCAGGAGATCTGGGAGTTACCGCCAGACAAGTCATATCAGTGATCAGGACAATATTTTTGCAATGCTTTTCCCCCTTTGTACTTCTTTTGCACATTGGCAAGTAGTCCCTGATCCCGGGAAAAAGCACAGGGCTGGGAAGACCATGCTGGAAAGGGAGAGAAACTGCTGCCAAGGGGTGGGTGAGGGAAGATGAAAGGAAGCATGAACTTCTAGGAAATGGTCCTGGGAAGGTGCAAGGGCTGTGGGGAAGGCGCCTCAGCCAGATCAAAGGGTGTGTGGGAAAGATGATCCTGCAAGGAAGTCAATAAAGTGGTTTTAAACAGCAGTGGGGAAAGGTAAGAATAGAGACCAGGGGGGCTGAGGTGGGGATGGAACACACATTTAAAGGGGATTTATTTTGGTTTTTTTTCCCCCACTAAATGAGTGCTCGGCACATGAGCCTCTGTTTATTGCCAGCAGCATAGCCAAAGAGCGGAGCTGATCGAGCTGCTTGCCTGCTTTGGTGAGAGCTTTTGTTGCCAGCCTCCCAGAGACTGTAAGACACAAGGAGCCATCACCCGTGACTGCAGTGGGAACCAACGAGGACAGCCCTTGCTGTCTCTGCTGACCTGCAGAATGCTGTCACGCTCCAGTTTACCCTCTCCAGAGATGCAGAGCTAAAGCTTTTTCTTTTTTTTGTCTGGCTCTTGAAATCACGCAGCTGCTGTTGGGAGCAGTTGTGCGGAGGAGCTGTAAGGATGCAACCTAGACCGGTCCAGCAAAGGCAGTGAGGTGCAGATCAGCTCTCCTCCCTTGGCTGCAACGATGGAGGGACAGAAATGTCTTAGCTGGAGGAGGGTCAAAACCAGAGGGGTGGAGAGAGCTACTTCCTTGCTGGTATCGTTAATCAGAGATAACACTTAATGTAATTAGCAAAGACTCCCCAGAGGCTCCGTATGAAACAAATTGGCTCTCTGCACTAAATGCCTGTGGAGGAGGCTGGGCCAACCACAGCAGTCTGGGTTAGGCTGAGCAGTTCTTTGTTCCTCTGTTCCAGCAGACATGGAGCTAAGGTGGCCGTTGTCTGTCCTGCCTGCTACTACCCTGAGGAGGGTTGGGTTTAGCCATAAAGCAATGATCCTTTTTAGGTAGGTCTAAACACGTCTAAATTTGCATCTGAAGTCTAAGCAAGGGAGGCATGCTTGTCTGCTTGGGCAGTAGGCAGCTGGCCCTTCAGGCTGTTCATCCTGGACGATGTTCTGATGATGCTGCTGTTTCTGTCCCTTAGAGGAAATTTGAATAAATCTTTGGTTTTTCCATCCCTGATAAGGGTTTTGGACACCTAAGGGTCCCACTGGGCACACAACCTAAATGACTTCTCCAACCTTGGCAGTGCAGAGTCTTGAACCCAGCACTCCCAAATCTCACCTGGATGCCCTGACATGAAGACCTCTGCGTGTAAAATGCCTCTGCGTGTAAAATACCTCAGTGTGTAAAATGCCTCAGTATTTGAGCTGTTATTTAGTCTCATGCGTGGTCCAGTCAAAAGGGTGTGTGTTGCATAGATCTCACTTTAAGGCAGCCTGCAGTTCTTACACCTAATTTCCAGATGTGCCTTAACTTGGGTATATCTTCAAAGACTCTTAATTTTTTTTTTTTTTTTTTTTTTTTTTTCCCTTCATTAATTTCCCAGTGGGGATCACAACATGAGAGACAAAGCATTTCGGACATCCATGCTATTTAAGGGTATACTTAATCTAATCCTTTGGAAAGACAGAGGAGAAGACCACATGACTTAAACTGTTACGCATCTTCAGTAAAGTAATTTCTACCGTAATTAAATGTATTTTCTTATCATCTTGTTTTCCAGGTCAATAATGCAGTTCCTAGGCTGGTTCGGTTTGCTGCTTCTCCTTCCCTGTTTTGGTACCACCAAAACCTGCTTCCCCGGCTGCCACTGTGAAGTGGAAAGCTTTGGTCTATTTGACAGCTTTAGCCTGACCAAGGTGGACTGCAGTGGAATAGGCTCACACATTGTTCCTGTCCCAATTCCTCTTGATACCTCCTACTTGGATCTGTCATCAAACAAACTGGAAACAATCAATGAATCGATGCTTACTGGCCCTGGATACACCACCTTGGTGAGCCTCGACCTGAGCTACAATAAAATTGCCAAGATTTCCTCCACAACCTTCTCCAGGCTGCGGTACCTGGAGTCCTTGGATCTGAGTCATAACTCTCTGGAAGTCCTTCCAGAGGACTGTTTCTCCAGTTCTCCTCTGGGTGACATAGATTTGAGCAATAACAAGCTTTTGGATATAGCAGTGGACATTTTTGCTTCAAAAGGTCAAGGAAAACCCCTGAATGTGGATCTATCCAATAATATGCTCAGCACAATTACGAGGCACCGTGAAAAGAGCATCCCCAACATTCAGAACTTAAATCTTTCCGGAAACAGGCTCACATCTGTGCCAAACCTTCAAGGGATTCCTCTCCGATACTTAAATCTTGATGGGAATCCTCTAGTCAAGATTAAGAAAGGAGACTTCACAGGGATGAAAGATTTGATTCATTTATCCCTCAGCGGCCTGCGTGGCTTTGGAGAGTTATCTCCTTATAGCTTCAAGGAACTACCAGCCCTCCAAGTCCTGGATTTATCCAGCAATCCCGACCTGAAGTCACTGACTGCTGAAGTTATCTTTGGTCTGGACTCCCTACAAGAGCTCAACCTCTCTGGGACCGGTGTGTCATCCTTGCCAAAGACTGTGCTGAAGTACCTACCTTCCATCAAAAGCATCACCTTGGGGAAGAATATACAATGTCTTAAGACCATCAAAGAAGGACAGTACCACCGACAAATTGGGCTGACCAAAAAAGAGGTCCTCAGTTGCCACGACAGCCATGGGTCTGTAGCAGCAGCGCCTTACGTTTCGTGATGAAAGCTAGGGAGAAGGGGTGGGGAAGGGAGGGAAGGGGGGGGCCAGGGATTTGTACAGGTGTCGGACTGAGATGGCTTGCAGTGTGCCTTTTGTAAAACTGTCAATAATTTATATATTTGTATATGCCAATACTTGATTGTTTGTGGATTTTATAAACTCTCAAACCCTGGCCCAAATCACCTGCAGGCTCCAGGTTTTGCCCAGTGCATTGAGGTCCTGCATGCAGCCCGTTAGCTCAAGAGTGGTGATGCTAGACAGCAGGGATCAAGCTGCTCTGAGGGTCCCAGGGCAGAACAGCCGGTCTGGAGCGAACCTTCATGCCCCAGACACGTTTGTAGGAGCAAAGCTACGTCTCTCCAGAGCACACACCAAAACACACCAACTCTGTAGCTGCTTGCTTCCAAACCCATGCATCATTCTTTTTTTAATTACTCCCCAAGAAGTGCCTTCTGGTTGTTGCCTTCATTAGCAGCACCCTGTTCCCTGTCATGCACTTTCAGTCTTGAAGAAACATTTCCAGACAAACCTGAATACAGGGTGCTCCTAATGTGCTGCTTTTTACATGTTATTTGCATAGGTGTGCAATGAACATTGAGTTAAGTCAAGAACTTTTCCCACGATTTTTCTCCCTGTTTTCCCATCTTGATCCTTTTCACATCGAATTACTTCAGGTCCAACCTTGGCAACCTCCTGTCTTTCTAACCTTAGCGAGCTATTGCTCAGAGATGATGTGCAGCAGAGCAAGGGAAGCAGAGAGGTCTGCCAACAGCCGCATCTCATCCAGGAACCAGCCTTCAGTGAAGCAAATTATCTGAGCTGCAAAGTGAAGAGATCATGTAGCCTATTTAAAAAAAAAAAAAAAAATAAAAATAAAAATCCCTTCTCCCTTTCTGGGGAAGCTTGGAAGAAAACCTGGACAGGGATTCTCTTCTTGATGACCTTATCAAACCAAGATGCAGACCCAGAGGATGTGAGAGTAAAGCTGATGTCCCATGCTGACGTCCTCCATCTGAACACAACATCTGTGACTCAGCTGGGCTTGTGTGAGGCAATTTCCAGTGCCGAAACATTGAAACATTCTCCAGAACGTGCCAAGGGAAGAATTAATACTGACGCCTGCAACCCTGGAGGGCTTTGCTTATCAGGGGAAAGATCTTGGGGGTTTTTTTTCAGAGTTGTGGCTTTTCTTTCTCTCACACAGCTCCTTGGCTGCCAGCTGAAATCTGATAAAAAACCTGGTCCTCAGAGATTTGCTCATTTTTCCCTCCGTTGCGAAAATATTGGCAAAGCAAAGGGGAGCCCCTCTCGTCCCTCTTCTTCTCCAGGCTAGGAGAAAGTAGGGGAGGGCAGCACAGTAAGCTCAATGCCGTGGGTGAAACCTTCAACTTGCCTAGAGGAGCTCCTGCAATGGAGGTGTCTGCTGAGGTCTGGTCCACATCTGGCACACTCTGTCCTGGGGATGGGAAGGGATGTGGATGGGGGTCCTGCTCGGGTTGGGCTGCAGCTCGCTCTCCAAACCCAGCCTGGCATCAGGGCAACCTTCCAGGTCTGAAGCTGGTTTAGGGAGGTCCACGCAAAGGTGATGCAGATATAAAACTGTCCCACAACCCTCCTCGGGAGCGTTGTGAGGAGCTCAGGCTTTGTCCTCACACCCCAACAGGTCTTTGCAAATGGAAACCCTATTGCCCAACTAGCTCTCCAGGGATGGTTGAAACCCACTGACCCCATAAAAGCTCAAAGCAACCTCGCTTTGGATGCTGAAATCACTTTCTCACATTTTCACCCATCTCCTTTTCAATCACTGATCTTAGGGTGGGATTTTAGTCCTTTCTTTCAGTACTGGGGGTTTTCCCCCTCTACTGAGCCTTTGCAATGTTCAACCAGCCTTCACAGTCACAAGAAATACTGATTTTTCTTAAAAAGGCAATGGGACTGCCTACAGGCAGGGATCTGGAGGGGAAGAGCAACCAACTGCAGTGCAAGATGGGGGCAGTTTGGGAGGAAGGTGTTTTTTTTAGTGGATCTTGCCTTTTTAAGAGAATTCTTTTCTGCTGGCAGAAAATGTAATTTTTTAAAAAGTTGTTTAATTTTATAAGTCTGTACGTAGATGAAATGTTTCGGGAATCACATACTGTCAGAGTTACTGTCTTTGTGCCACTGTGGTAAGTTTAAAACCCAATGTGACAATCCAGTTGAAGACTGCAAGATTTCCTTGTGTAATCTCATGCTAGCTGCTAGCTAAACAAGCCTTAGCAAAAGCTGGCAAATACCGTCGCTGTGTTAGTTTGTGTTTTTTTAAAAGAACCTCTGCAGCATTGTAAGGCTTTGTGATTACTCACAATATAATAAAGTGATTTGGAGGAGAATAAACGCAGATCCCCTGGATTTATTGCCTTCGTGCTGGAAGGGCGCCCGCTGTCCCTGGGTGCGAAGTGCAACACGGCTTCTCTCCTTGCTCTGCTCAGCTCCACCAGCCTCATGGGTGTTGCATCTCCAAACTGGGGGCAGGATTTATCCTGCTGTGTTCGGCTCGCTGGGCTCCTCACTGGCAGAAAGGCTTGAGAGCTTCGCTGGCTGACTCAGAGGAAATTATGGACATGTGGCAGTGAAGCAGCACAATAGTATCTGGAGCAAATTTTCTGCCTACAGGATCTGCTCCAAACCTTGTCAGAGACGGTGGGGATCTCTTCGTGGATTTGGACAACCTGGGACGCAGTCTGCTAGGGTTGAAAGGCTGGATTTGCAGAGTGGGCGATACGGGGAGAACCCACGAGCTGTTTCACAAGACCATGGAAGTGGGAGGGAGTGAATGAGCTCAGGAGCAACGCCACGGCACGGCAAGCTGCACGCTGCCAGACAGCTTTAGGTGCTGAGATACACGTGGTCTTCTCAGCACCTCAATCCAAGGAGCGGGGGCTGCTTCGTGGAGGGCTAAGAGCATGCAGAGCCATTGCAAATAAATAGAAACCTCTCAGGAGGGCTTTGCCTGCTCTTAAATAGCAAATTTAATTTTAAGCACTTCTCGGTGCTGTGTATAAAAATGGTGCAAGCAGAACCCCAGCGAGGAAACCGCCTCCGGGCAGTGTTCCCGGTTCTCCCAAGCCTGAAGGAACAACTGCATCTTCCATCCAGGCAGGCAGAGCTGCAGGCTGCCCTGGAAGAGGCTGTTGGTTCTCCAACTGCCTCCCAAAACTGCCCTGTCCTGCAGACTATAACCTCGGGGTTAACGTCTCCAGGAGAGGACAGATCTTGCTCCCAGCAGAATTATGGACTATAGGGGATAAGCCACCACCAGCCCTTGGAGATGACTGTTCCTCCGGTGGCCACCATTAGGTTGCGACCATTAGGCCACACCACCTTGATTCTTCTGGTTGAAATCCCTCCTGCCTTGGGATGTGGGCTCAGTTGGAGCGGTGGAGAGTGTCCTGCTGTCCTGGGGAAGGACACTGTCCCAGGAGCAATGCCTCTGAAGCTGGATTCTCCCACTCCTTTGTGAATGCCCCACTTAAACGATGCTCCAGCACTGTGCTGGACCTTGTCCCTCCCAGTACTCCTTTGCACCCTTGCCCTAACAACCAAATCCTTTGTTAGTGATTTTTATTAGTATTTAAGTATCCTTTCCGAAGCCCTCTGGATGGGGAGGAGGATGCAAATCTCCACCAGCAGCGTGAGACCCCACATTGCCCACTCATGGTGTCCCTCCCCATGGGACGTGGACACCTGAAACACAGCGCTAACGTCCCCACAGAGGAGGAAAAGGCTTTGAAAAGTTGAGGAGGTCCTCATGCCAGCTTCCTGAGACTGCTGTCAGCTTGATAACATGGCGTGATGGACTACACCCTGGTGTCAGCCACCATCGCAGCTCCCCATGCCAGGAGAGCCTGGTAAGCTGCAAGCTCTGTCTGTCTCCAAGACCAGCTCAGCTCTGCAGCTGGATACGTTTGCCCTGGCAAGAAAGATGGGCATTTTAATTAGAGGCTGAATATTTTTAGAAGCAGGAAAACCTCAGTGGAGGCTGGGCAATAAAGATAGGCTGGGTTAGAGAGGGGAAGAAGTGGCTGAGCTGGCATTTGCTTGCAACACTCTGTCTCCTGAAGGGTTATCAGCATCTCACCCCGCTTTCCAGCATGCTGGGAAAGACATTGAGGGTCGATTGCTCTCATCTGCCTGGTGCTCAAGGAAGCATAGGACAACTTTCTCTTTATTTGAAAACGTGCACCTCTTGGTACCCATAAGCCCGTCTGCTGGAGCTGTTTCTCCTGGCTGTCAGCTGTCAGCATACAGAAGTCCTCCGCTGACTGATTATGTGACTGACTTTACAGCAGCAGTAGGTGCCGTCCCTTTTAAAAATAGCTGCTCCTCTGTACATTTTCCATTTTGCAGGAGGTTTTTATTTCCAGCACGTTTGTTCCACACACCCTGGCTTGGTTAGGCTGGAAAGCGCAGATGCACTCTTGCCATGCCAGAAAATAATGCTGCATGGTTGGGCATAATCCTTCTGGCTGCCCTCGGATCTGCCTCCTGGGAAAGCTTTAGGGCAACAAAACCCTCTGCCCCACACATATTTCTAGTGGCAGCACAGTAGCATTATTCCTGCCCCATCGACCCTGGGACATCCCCTTATTTCTCTTTTTAAGTGGACAAGCGGACCTGGGAACCGGACTAAAAGGTGGAAAATTGGAGCTGAAACTAGGCCATCAGATAAATCCTTTCCTGTAATAAGCAGGGAGTCAAAGCACCGGCCCTTAATCACAGTCTTTGTCTCTTAGCATTTGTATGCCTGTGTGCACGCGTCCCTCAGCGCCAGAACAAACCCACCCCCCTCCTGCCCCATCCCCACCCCGGCACTGCCTTTCATTAATGGTATTAAAATAAAAGTGTTTCATTCTGCCACAGAGGAGCACCCTGGAGAAAGCATCAGCCTGCTGTGCCAGGCGCTGTGCATCCTTAAAAAAAAAAAAAACAAAAACCAAACCCTGCCAGCTGCAAGGGGGTTTGGGCAGGGGGATGTGCTGCCACCCTGCCCAGCTCCATCCCTCCAGTGGGCCAGCCCTCACTCCAGGTGCACCCCAGGAGGGTGAAGCAGCCTGGAAAAAAAAAAAAAAAGTTTTGCCCCCTGAAAACTTTCCCACCACCGTGGTGATGTCCTTTAACCCCCAGCACTGCCTGCCTGGATGTCTGCACCATGTGCTCCCCTCCTCTTCCTCGTTAGCAGTGGATGTGTGTCACGGTGCTTGCTGGTAATTGACTGGGGCCGTGCTGGGAATTTGAACCTACATTTCAAAGAGATTGTTAACCTCCTTTTCCTTCTCTTTGAACTGCTTCACGCTATTGCAGGTTAAAGGAAACACACAGCTTCTTCCTCCCAGACCCCCTTTTGATGGGAGCACGGCACGTTAGAGACAGTGATTTTTTTTAACCAGTGATGTTGGAGGTGGTGGCGTGGTGCTCAGAGGCATGTGATGCATTTTGGTGGGATCAAGCTGCCCCTCGATTTTTGAGGGGATTGGAGGTAAAGGAATGGTCCAGAGATGGCCAAGGGACTGGCAGGGGCACATGACATTGCTGTCCTGGCAGCATGTGGAGGGGCTCTCAGCTGACAGAGGACCAAGGAACAGCCACAATTTTTTGGTCAGTCACCCAGAAACTAGGTTCAAGCCCCTCTGCCATGCTGGACTTTCTGGGTGGGCCTGGGCGCATGAATGACAGCTTTTCTGAGGTGTATTTCCACGGGTGGTTTAAGTCACCCTGTGACTGCAGGGCAGCAGAGAGAGGTTGTCCTGACATTCCCTGCCATTACATCAAAGCCAGCATTTGCACAGCCCTTCACTGTATCAAAAAAAGAAAAGGAAGGCCAAATTTCAGACAGATCAATCAGCTGAACCAACCCATTAGTGGCCACGGAGCCGCTAGCAGAAATATGCACCAAGAAGAGCATAGTGTCCTGCAAAATGAGCACTGTGAGTCCCTCTTCACAACAATATCTGGACTCTGTGAGAAGTGTCTGCATCCATTTTAGGTTCAAAGCAGGTGGACTGGATGTTCCCAAGTACTTCTGAGCATCTTGCCTGCTTATAACCTATAACTTGGCCCTGGTTGGACTGCTATGAAAATGCACGGTACATAGGACTGTGAGGCATTGGATTATTAGACTAGACAATGTCCTGAAATAAAAGCTCTGCATTACCAGACCTGACACCTGCATTGGTAGGTCTCCAATGACAACCAGGGTCATCCTTGGCCCTATAGTTATAAAATCCTTCCACTGTTAATGGCACTTTCTTAGCTCACATTAGCTATCCCCTTCGCCCCCATGGCAGATGCTCTACCAAGCATCTCCAAGGGGCTGGAGTAAGTAAGAGGAACTATCTCAACACCTTCTTTTCACCACCTGGGACAGGACCAGGTGTGATGGAAAGGAAGAAAGTCAGGGATGGAGCAGAGCTCTGACATGGCTCCAAAACTGAGTTTGGGGTCCTTCATGGGGCACACACCTCTACAGCTCTGATGAGAGCTGTAAGGCCTGAAGTCCTTTCCAGCCAGTGCTGGTTTTCATGTCATTTTGACTTCATTTCAGCTGCCCTTGAATTTGGACAGCAAGGCTTCCATGTACTCATGGCTCTACTACTGTCCGTAGTTCAACCCCACCAGGCTGCTAAGTGCCCTTCTGCCAATGACTGTCCTTACCTTTTTGTAGGACTCATGTACACAATAATTATTGCAGTTTAGAAAATCCCTAGATTTCAAGTAAGCCCTGCTCACTTTAAAAATCTACGCTCTTAGCTTCAGCTATTATGAGGGAGAGCACACCAGAATAAACTTCAGTCAGACATTTACGCTAATACGTCCTACCTCATGGTTGCAATGAACTAAGTGCATATAGTTACCACAGGTCAGCCAGCATTCATAAAACCTCATTGTGTTGATCAAACATCTAAGAACTCATATTTAAACATAAATCAATCTGTGCTGCTCCATAACCTTAGGATACTTCTGAAGAAAAATATTCTACAGTCTTTCTTTGCTTTACCCGTACTCACTGCCATCGTTTCATTTATCGCTTCAGTGATTACAAAGGCTGAAATAATGGATAGATTTATTTGCTGGAAGAACTGGACATCTCTGGAGGTAGTTCTCAGACCTGCTAATCTGATGTTTCTGTCTAAGGTAAGAAACTCCTGAAGACAGAGTAGCTTTTCCTGTGAGATATGCTGAAGAACACCTTCCTGTTTGGTCCTTACCTACGGTCTCTTTTGCAGGAAGACCAGGGGGAAGATTTTTTCCTATTTTGCCGCTAATCCTAATCACCAACATAAAAAATATCTCCATTTTCTCCAGGATTACTCATTCATGGAATTTTTAAAACTTTTTTTTTTTTTTTGTAAAGTG